TAAGTTATATAGGTCTAGCCTAAGTCCTATAGGATATATTAGGTTATTATAATTATCCTTAGTTAATATTAAAGCAAGGGGTAATTATCTTATTATTACTAAACTTAGGGTTCTATAATTTCTTTTATAAGAATTATTAATTATTAATCCTAATTGCCCTATTAATATAATCGATAAGGTTATTAAGTCGATCTTCTTTATATAGTTTTACTTATATTTCTTTCTTAAGTCTATTAAAGAAGAGGGATATTAGGGGCTCTTAATCCTAATTAAACTTTAAGGCGAGTTAAAGGTATTTTATTCTATATTCTAAAGCTAATTAAGTTTATCTAAGAGTCTTAATCTCCCTCTTAGCTTATCTTTTCTTATTAATTATTCTAAAAGCTTATTAAAGCGCGGCTTTAAAAGTTTTATAGCTCGAATAGAGATTATTAATTTATAGTAAGAGTCTAATAAATAAAGTTATATAATACTCCCTTATAATTAGTTTAAACTATATAATAGCATAGCCTTTAAGCCTCCCTATAGTATATTAGACCTTATTAGCTACTAAGATAAACTAGGTTAAGTAATAAGTTATAAAAGCATATAGCTATATAAGAAAGGTTAGTAGCTTATATATAATTCTATTAAATATCTCTAGTAGGTTTAGCTTTAAGATTTCTCTTATATCCTTGCCCCTTATAGTAATAATAATTAGGTTATTAAGGTCTTAGATATTATTTTAATATTATATATTCTAAGTGCGCTAAGTCTAGTCTATTCTTTTAATAAGCTAATAGAATCTATTTATCTTAGTATTTATAATAATAATTTAGGCTTAAAGCTACTTAACTTCTTTATTATTAGAGCTATCTACTTTATTTATTTCTTTATTAATTAAGGCGGCTTATATAGGTATAATAGGTAGGTAATTAATAGGTAAGACCTATTAGTTATTATTAATAGGGTTTACCTAAGTAGCTATTATATTTAATATTATTTAAGGTAATGCGAATAATCCTCTAAATAAGAGCTATTAATATATAATAGTATAGTTAGATCTAAGGGATAAATTAGTCATATTAGGTTTATATTAGCAAGGGATTATTAATATTATTTTAAATAAGGTATAAATTATATCTAGTAATATACTTAATAATATTAAGTATAATTAAGTTATATTAATAATTAAGGTAGCTAGTATATAACAAAGTACTAATAAGCGTGTCTATATATTAGTTTAACCTAGTAATCGAATGGGGTCGAATAGACTTCGTTCGACTTGCATATCGAGTGAAATTAAATAGACTTTATTTGACTTATATATTTGTGCTAGGTTTATTAGTCGGAATAGCGGGTCCCTTCCTGGGTCCTGCCGTGCCTGACCGCCTTGTCATGACATAGTCGTGATAATTATTAGCTACTAAGAATTCCATCCAATGCCCTCGCCATAATCATCTTAGGCCACTACCCTCCTATTCTACCTTCTATCTCAGGGAATAGCTAAGCTGGTATCCTTCCTTCCGGTTAATCTCGGCTATATAAGGGCGCTTAGATATGGGTATATTTGCCTCGGTATTATAGTTATTATTAGGCTAACCTTATAACATTCTGGCGCTGATAAGGCAGATTAAAGTAATCAATTATTAGCCATATTAATTCCTCTGCGTCCTATTAGGGTAATAAAGAAGCTATCTATATATATTATTAGACTTACTATCTATTAACTTAATATCCTAGATAAATAACTATATATATCTAATACTAAAGGTTTCTTACTTAGTTAATATAATATAAATATTATTATAAAATTAATATAAACTCTAAGATAATCTTAACTAAGGGTAATATATATATATAGCGAGTATAACAAATAAGTAAGTATAATAAAAATCCTAACCTTCCTACTAAAGATCGCAAGAAAAATACCATAAATTATTTAATTAATTAAAACTACTCGCTATACTCTTCCCTAGATATCTTAATTATTACCTAATAGGTCCTTATATTATGGCCGGTCTTACCGTAGATACTATAACGCTAAATACTTAGTCGCGCTAACCTCCCTTGACTACTACTCCGCGATAATTTAGCCACTACCTATATATTAATATCTATTTAATTAATTACTTATCTTCTTTCTTCTACTATTATTACCCCTCTTTTCTATAGCTAGGTCTTTTTTACTCTCCGGCGCCGGCTTAATATCTTATTTACCTATTAAAGATCTTTAATCTTATTAATTAATAAGGTAATCTTATATATAATTACTTTTATCCCCTTCTTAAGAGACCTTAGGGCTTTAAGGATTAACTCTAGGGAGCTACTTTAATACCTTCTAATTTATCTTTTAAGGTATTTAGATTAAGATTAGGCCTTAAATATAGTCTTTAGGGTCCTCGAGGCCTAAGAGATTACTTAATTAAATACCTCCTTAATTAATACTAGCATCTATAGCTAAATATTAAGCTTTAAGATTATACTTTCTAGGTTAAGGGGAATAAGGCTAGCTCCTTTAAAAGCCCCCTTAATATTTCTTTTTATTATAATAGCTTTATATATAGTATAAAAGGCTAAAAAGAACTTAGTCTTTAAAATATAAATAATAAAATATCTAATTAAATACTTTATTTCTTAATTATAAGCTTTCTTTAATATATTAAAGTACCTAATATTAAGGGGCTAGAATAAATAAGATAAATAAGGTAATATATAAAGCTAGATAATCTTCTTCTCCTTATAATATCTCTCGAATTTAATAAAATAATAACTTTTATAGCTATTAAGGATTAAAAGATAATAGCGATTATTTAATTACTTAGCTATATACTAGTTAAAATATTTAAGCTACTTAAGATTAGTCTTATTATTAGTCTAGCTATTTTAGGTTATTATAATAGCCTAATCGCCCGGGAGGTTATTATCTTAGTATTAATTAGCGAGGTAATATTAGCCCGCGCTAATAATAAATAGCTAGATCGCCTAGCCTTCTATATTAATCGCCTAGATAATTATAATCTATTCCCGGTTTCTAGGCTATACTAATTTTAGCTTTAAATACCTTTTTAAACCTATAACGACTATTCTACTTATAATTATACCTATAAGAAAGCTAATCTTATTAAAGTTATATAGATTATTTAATTAGATACTATACTTCGCGATTATATTCGCTATAAGCTAAAATTAATCGCAGATAATAATTAGATCTTTATATTTAGCTCTCTAGTAATTATATTTCTAAAAAAAATGCGTCTTAAGGTCTAAGTATTACTTAATAAAGTTTAAAGGCTAATATATACTAATTAATAGCGCATCGCGGTTAATAAGTAATTAATTAGCTATTTCCTTTATATTATAAAGCTAGGGGGGAAATCCTCGCGAATCTAGGTTAAAAATAAAATAAATAAAGATCTCTTTTTTTAGATTAGATAGCTTATATAAATTTAGAATACTATTACATCGAGATTAGATACCTTACTATCGGCGATATAAGGTCTAATAATAGACCTTATAGATAATAATAGCCCATCAGAGACTTAATTTTAGGTTATTTTAAATAGCTTAAAGTACTAGAAGTATTCTAGCCTTATTACTAGGGCCTAATATATTAGGTAGTTATAAATTAATTAATTAAATAGAGAAGATATAAGGTGAGGGATTTTTATTGCACTCGCTTATCTATTGCACTCGCTATATATATACGTTATATACTAGTAATTAATAATAAGATACTATATATTTATCTCTAATTTTATTAAAGTAATAATTAAGCGAGCTATATATAATATATAAGCTAGTATTTATAAGGTTACTTATTATAGGTTTATTCTAATTTTATTAATTACTGGGGGCTAAAACTAGAACCGCCGGCCTATAATTCTTCTTAGCTCACCCGAGCTTACTACCGGCTTAGGTTAAAGCAGCGACTACTTAGGATCGTAGGCGAGAAAGGAAACAATACAAGTCGATATTCGCATTGCGTATTAGGCTATTTCATCACATTATGCAGTGCGTCTTGGCCTTCGGACTACCATGATCTATTGGCACTCTAAGTGATCAGGGGCTCAAGACACCAGAGTAGGCAAGGCATTATTCGACGCATCGCAATAGCATTATGGAACAATACAGCAGCAGGGGAACACATCCGCCTAGCATAGGTAGTATTCTTCCGTCGAATCGAGCCTAGGCTCATAATTATTTGCCTATACTCTATAGATACTTTTTATTCGCGTTTCAATTTTCCGTCCTCACAGTATTAAGCGTCGTTAAAACTGCTATCGGTGGCTACTTCCCCGGTACTTATCACTTCGTGGTCTGACGTGCTGCCGTCTTCGCCACGGTCATAGCCTCGAAATCTATATTGCGCGGCTAGAAAGAGCTAGGCAACCAAAGGCCGCCAGGAAGGGAAATTAGGCGAGATAGTCCTCCAAAGAGACGGTTAGCGCAAGTCTCGCTACCAGTACGACCCCCTAATCATTACTAGGTGGTCGGGCGGGTACGTCATACCAGAAGCAAACGATCTAGTAGAATACCTCGTCCTACCGCCATCTCAACATCACGGCTATCATAGATATACAGTCTTACGGCTAGGTTATCTTCTTCGACTACCATAAGGGCAAGACTACAGACCTAGTTAAGGCCGGTGGCGTATATAAGAATCTCCACGAGGCACTAACCGTCAAGAGCCAAAAGGTGAATGAAACTATAGCTTTCTAGAGGAAGGCTAACCCTTCCAAGAGGCAGCACAAGCTATAATTGGGGTCGTTTTTGTCTATTAGTATTCTAGTTATCTAGATAGCACGGCGTTATAGGTCCGATGGCTCCTTCCCCTCATGCTCCTTTAGCTTATACCTATCTGGAAGTTTCCATAGAGGTAAAACGTCAAAGACTGCCACATCTCCTTCAACATCATACAATTTATATTCGTCCGGCGGGTAAGGTCTTTCAATCTAGTATCCGATGTAACGCGCCATTCTATCAATATAGCTATTAGCCTCGGGGGAGTAGTATAGCAGCTATCTCCTCCAGTAGTCCTTCGGCCAGTCCTCGTCGAGATAAAACTTTTTCACATCCTCGACGTGCAAGGTGCCCGGTCCATTCTTGCCATATCGACCCAGCATGCCAAACATATTGGCGTACTGGGCAAGAGAGCAGATGGCTCCATTATTACCGAACCTGAAGTTGGGATTCGTGGCTTTAGAGTCATTATGGCGCCGGTGATAGTGCTCCGCAGTGTCCTCGAGAGTCAAGGTCTCACCGTCCTTCGAAGCCGAGAGCAGTTATTTGAGCAATATCTTATTTAGGTTGATATTATCTCCTACCCCTCGGTCATTGCGAGTCAGAGCTGCGAGGCAATTAATCTTAAACTAGACGGCATCGTCGGCGAACATATCGAGGTCAATGCGCAGGCCAGGATGCTCTTTGCGGGTAAGGCCAAGCACAATTTCAATCTAAAAGAGCTATTAGAGCACTGGCTTCAGAGGGGTTTTTAGAAGTAACTTACGTTATCATCCCCAAAGTTCTATACCACACGTACAGCTTAGGCTATCTCATCGTAGCTAATATTGCGGCCAGAACGGTTAATGAATCCTCTGTTTGCCAGTATATTAACGCCAGGGCATAAAGATCGCCGATAATAACCATGCCCGGAACCATTAACATACTTCTCGTAGTAGTAGACCTTCTCATCCCATTCAAACGGCTCCTTATACGGAACGGGATTGTGGGGGCTAGGAATAAAGAGATCATTGTGGCCGATGGCCTTTTGTCCCTATGCCCCGAAAGTCGGGTGATTAGAGGGAGGGAAAGCAAAGGCAAAGGGACTAGAGGCTACGAAAAGCAGCAGAAGCTTAATAGTAGGACTCATTGTGAAGATAATATGTGGCATGGTTTAATAATGCCTAACTTATAAACCAGACAGAGCATGAGCGGATTGATATGTCCACGCACGTCTTAGGTATTTAAAGGAAATACAGTTAGTGGAAATAATCCTCCGAAATTCCGATATATCGATTTGCGGCTGAGGATCTCATATCACTTAGCTCAGCATATCTCATTCGCCGATATCAAATGTTTGTGGTTACAGGATTAATCACATAAAAGGGATAAGAAATACACAGGAGATTTTTTGGAACGGCATCCGCTATTAAGTCTTCGAAGCATAGGGTCCCGTGGCATCACAAACCAGGCCAGAGTCCTAGAGGACAGACCATTGCGGGACTATAATCTGCCTTATGCTAAAAGCTCGCTGAGCCATATATAGATTATAGTCCATGCATTCGTCGTCAGCGCCCTCAAAATCTTAACTAGGGCTTGCTTTTGCGAGAATTTTGATTTCCGAATACGAGGCTCAGAGCAGCAACCTAGCATCCCTTACGACACGATGACGATTTCAAGTAGGAAGTAAGCATCACGGACAAAGAGAGCAAGCCTTTAGCAAGTACTTTTACGAGGGACTCAAATAAGTCTTACGACGTAGAGCCTATTCAGCTAATAGGGAGTATCTCGTCATAACCTAAACGTAAATATGCAGGACCGAGCCTACATATGAGGGTAGGTTAAGAGAGTAAATTTCTATTAGTAGGTAGAAGAATAGGCCTAGTAGGCGCTACTCGAGTAGTTATCCATTCAACATTCCAACCCTAGACAGTCCGGCATGTGAAACTAGCTATATTACGCAAACCTTGCAGCTCGTAAATATAAGTGTCAGCCGGTAACATTTAGTACAACAGAACCAGGCCAACGAGCTAGAACCCCATATAAGCAAACTCCAAGGAAACGAAACGCTCAATATCAGGGAGCCAATAGGGTAGATCGATTATATTCCGTCCGGAGGAAAGTTACTAATCCTATTAGTTCCCTAATATTAATTAAGTTTAAATAACGGTTAAATAACGTTAAGTGCTACGTATCCCTGGAAAAAACCATATATACAAACGGCGGGACATGCTAGATCTTCAGAATACATCGCGGACTTTCCCGTTATCGCATTAGGGGTTACTCATCTATCTCCAGGTGTCGCTTATTCAGAGGCTAGGTACCACGGCGCAGCATACCCGTATTCGGCGAAGGTAATGGGCTGACCTCCGCTATGTCTCTAAACAATAGCATATAAGTAGATAGGCGTGGTCCCCTCGCGAGAAAGGCGCGCTAAGAATAAAGTTAATAAAAAGTCAACCAGAAAACGAAAGGCTAAGAAGTAGGGGCTAGGATACAAAAACGCGACCGGGATCGCCATACTTACCCTCGATATTACTCAACCCAGATCAAACATTCAACCATAGCCTAAAGCTTATCGTATGAGCCAAGATAGGTGCTCTTCTCATTATCCTCGGGGTTATTGCCTGCGTTGGAGCTCTTCCTCTCAGCGACAGTCCCCTATTATCCATTCCCGAAGAAGTTCCCGCGGGCCAAGCCGCTAACATAAGATTACCATTACCTACCGAGTTCACCCTGCCGAACGAGGATAACGAAATCCTAATACGAAAACGGAAGATTCGGAAAAAACGAAAAGAGATCCTCTATAGACCTTCCCTCATTAGAAAAACTTCTTTCTTCCTGTCTGGTCCCTTAGGGGACCAGATCTCTCAGCGGGACCAGAGCCTATGGGCACGAGATGCAGCGCCGGTAGTACAGGCAGCGTCTCATAAGGCCGCGGCAGCCCTTCATGATATCCAAGTTATACTTGATCCCCCATTTTTCTTAGATTTCTCGTATTCTCACAGCTAACGATATGACCTAAAGCATAGTGGACTCCAAAATCTCGAGGACTATAAGATCCTGTATCATAGCCACTAGTCGGGCTCGGTCCCTAGGGGGATTACAAAAGGGCAGTTCAGTAACTTCACTTCGGACTTACTCTTTACTATGGAACGACTATCTACTAATCCATACATTCTCCAGCGTCTGCGCCCCCATGCGAATGAGTTACCGTTTGCTGTCGATTCAAAAATCGTCCAGGAACTCACGGGATCGACGCTACCGTCGCTCCACAAAGCAGGACATCTCTTCCTCGCAGACCACAGCTACCAGAAGGATTATTTCGCCCAAGAGGGCCGCTATGCTGCCGCTTATCAAGCCCTCTTCTACCTCGACGACCAGTCCCACCAATTCTTACCGCTCGCTATCAAGACCAACATCGGGTCGAACTTAACTTACACCCCTCTAGACGAACCGAATAACTAGCTACTGGCCAAGGTCATATTCAATGCCAATGACTTATTTCATGGCCAAATATACCACCTTGCCAGCACGCATGCCATCGCCGAGATTATCCACCTAGCTGCCCTTCGGACTATAAGCAGCCGTCATCCCGTCTTTGCCCTTCTCGAACGGTTAATATATCAGGCCTACGCAATCCGCCCGATAGGCAATAAGATTCTCTTTAACCCCAGTGGTTTAATTAATCAGAACTTTGCCTTCTCCAACGTTGCCATTCGAAAATTTGCGACCGACTTTTATCCTACTATCGCCGGCCCAGTCCGTTCGAATTACTTTGAGGCCAATCTCCGCTCGCGCGGCCTACTCAACGTAACCCATAGGCCTGACTTGCCGCATTTCCCGTTCTATAAAGACGGCGCTAGGATCATTAGGGTCATTCGCACATTTATCAAGAGCTTCGTCAAGTCGACCTACAAGTCCGACAAGGTTCTCGCCAAGGACTGGGAGTTGCAAGCTTAGGTCGCCGAGGCTAACGGTGCTGCAGAGGTTATTAACTTCCCTCCTGCTCCACTGAAAAAGCGGAAGCACCTAGTAGACATCCTTACGCACATGGCATGGCTTACTGGCGTCTCGCATCACGTGTTAAACCAAGGCGAGCCAGTGACAGCGTCGGGTGTATTGCCACTTCATCCGGCTTCGCTATATGCTCCTATTCCCAGCGAGAAGGGTATTATCGATAGCTTACTTCCCTGGCTTCCCAACGAGCAGAAGTCTATGAATTAGATTTCTCTCCTTGCTCGATTCAATCGGCCACAGATCGTCGAGAATAATCGAACGCTACAGTACATGTTCAATTCAGAGAACTTACTTGCCGGTACAGGTAAGGCTATTGCGGCCGCTAACGAGAGGTTCATAGAAGAGATAGGACACATCAGCCAAGAGATTAGCAATAGGAAGTTTAATGACGATGGGCTAAGCCAGGGGATGCCATTTATCTAGACCGGTATAGACCCGGGAGTAATTCCGTTTTACATAAGCGTTTAGTCGTAAATCCACCGATCATACAAGCTACAAATACTTATACCAGGCCCTGAAACCGACCGACCATAACTTTACTCTCCATCACAATATACCCGACGTCCCCCCAGCTAAAACGGGTCCAAGTTTGAGTCCTATCGCTCGGCACGGGTGCATAACTAGCTAACGACCGGGCAGAAGGTCCCTCGGTGAATCGGGCAACGAATAACTCTTAATTTCTCTATCTAATAAGGGTCTAAAGGTTAGTCTTTTATAGTTAAAGTCTGCTGCCAGAGCTGAGACTTCTATGTGTTTAATCCTTCGGATAGTCTCTATCCGGCTCGGATAACCCTTATCCGTGCGACACTATTGAATGAGCGACCTAATCTTAACAGGGGTGCAGATCGATCTGGTCGCGGACGTAGAAGATCAGGGTCAGGGAGTTAGAGCGAGTTGATGAGGGTGTTGAGACCTCGACGCCTTGACTTAGGAACATTATGTTTCTCTCCAAGATGGCGTCCGACTCGATCGTCGTCTGTTTTCAAAGCATAGCCACAACGCGTACAAATGATGGCTGGTGCTGAGAAACCATAGTGCAACCCAAGTTGTTCAAGCCTTTGCACTTGGTTCGGAGTGATCCTATGAGGTGTAGGAAATTTGTCGAAAATACTCGAAGATATGACCATAGTGTTTCTTTCTGTTTCGGGTTTAAGAAGTGTTCGCGAATGGTGAACAATTCGTCTCTGGCTGGCCATCATTGAATTCTACTAGGGTGTCACAGACCATCGCGTCAGAAACGGGCCCCGTTACGCGTTTCCGCTAAACATGATGGATTTGGGAATGGGGCCCGTTCCAAGTCACGGAACCCCTATAGAAATTCCAGTTCTATGATTGGTTCAAAACCAGGAACGGGCCCCGTTCCTAACTAGAATACTTAAGTAGGCTTAGGCTAAGGTCTAGTAAAAGATATCAGATAATATAGAAGGCGTAGTTATTTAATACTCTAGCTTTATTATAGCTAATGATAACTATTATTTAGCCTCTATAAAAGAATATATTGCGTATAGTAAGTTTAGTGTTAAGGCATTGGATGCTAGTTACCTCGGTGCCTCAACTAGGTAACCCACCTGCGAGCTATAATATAGTAAAAGCTAACTTATTAAGGTTAATGCCTACGTTTAGATACGCTATATAGGTCTCGGGATACTAATTAGAGGCATTAGTGAATAGCTTACTATGAAAATAGGATATCTAAAGCCTATTTACTAGTATCTTCTATAAATCGGCTAGCTTATTTTTGGCTTTTTAGAGGAAAGACTAGCTAGCTATTTGGTAAATTAGGTTATCTTAGATATTATTAATATTAATTTTGAGTTTAATACCTAATATTATCTCTTTTACTTGCTCGTAAATAAGCGTTATAACCTTATAATAGGTCCCATAGAAGTTAGAGAGCCTTATTTCCTTATCGTGGCCGATTTTAAATAATAAGCTATCTAGAGCCTATAAAAGGTTTCCGGGAATACCTTTCTATCTAATAATAGACTTCGCAAATACTTTTAGCTTAATAATCTCTCTAAAAGGGGTATAGCACCCCCGTATGAGATATCTTTTACGAATAGTATTAAGGCGGTTAGGTTAAGATAGATATTGGTCCCGGGATGGCTAATAGTATGCAAGGGTATTATAGCGATAGATAGGCAGAGCATACTCGAGGAATAAGACGCGGCCGACCTAGGTATAGAGTTGTTCGCCGAATGATAGGCAAGAGATTCCCTCTATATCCCTATGATAGTAGTATAATAGATAAGTACTGATGAGGCTATATTTCTAGTAGGATCCCGGTGCGTCTAGAATATTATTAAGAGTTAAAATAGGGCCTTAGATAATTATAACTAAGAGCTAGATAGGGGTATAAAGTCCGATTTATCTCCTATTAGATAGTTTTCCTCCTCTATATATTCCTCTTCTTTATAGTCGGTATCTTCGTCGGTTTTAGAATTATTATTATTATTTGCTTCTTAGTACTCCTAGTTATAGTTATTAATAGGTACTAAATCCTCTTAGCCTAATTAATCGAGGTTATAGCCGCCTCCTTCTAATAATAGCTAAGTAACTAGTATTAAGATATACTATATTATCTTCTTTTCGTCTAACCCTAACCTTAAGTTATAAATCTATTAATGCTGCCGTGCCTTAAATTATAGAACCTAGAAGATAAAGCAAATAAACCTCTTCTATACTAAGATATATCTCTTAAAGTATAATACTAATAGGAATATATATAGCTAGAATATATCTTTTGAGTATATATTTAACTAGTAGCGGGATATATATAATATACGAGCTAGTATAGCTATTGCCTAATTGAATATAAAGTCGATGCCCTATAGTAGAATATATAGCTAGGCTTTAGTATTAGTAGAGCTCCAAAATGAAGTCCCCTTTTATTGGCCTAGTAGATAGTCTTTGCCCCTAATAGGCCCCGGTTGCCGTATTAATGTAGTAATAATATTAAGCGGTCGATTATAGAATAGCTCCGGCCACTAAGTATATTAGAGCTATAGAGTCGTTTTATTTAGCTTAGTGACCTCGGCTTTATTAGGTGAAATATTCCCGAATACTATTTTCATAGACTCGGTTAAAAATTCGATATTTAACTTTAAGATCTGCCTCCTCTCCATTTCTAAAAGGGCCGTTTAAGATTGCTTTAACTAGCATATCTGGTTTTGCGCGTAACCCTGCACCTACTTGGCGCTGGTCGACGTGGCGGGTTTCTCGCCGTCTACTAGCTACCCTGTTCTTCTTTGGCGGCCACTGTAAACACTCCCGGCTAGCAGCATTTAAATCTCCAACCGCAGACAGTTTGTGATACTTTTCACGGGCTGTTCCCTGCTGTAATTGTCGTGATGGTGGCTTTCCTCTTAGGCTGGCCGCGACTGGCAATCCGTCAACGGCCTTGCCCACAACTGATTTGATGTAGTCTCTTGACGGATAAAGTAGAAGGGAATATAGGAATTCCAATGACGCGTATAGTGTAGTCCCAGGAGTGGGATCAGCTACTATAGCATATATCGATTCTTTAGATAATTTCTATAGCGATCCCTTGCAAATTCAATATTTGACTTAATTATACGGTTAATAGCTCTGTCTTCTCCTTCTTTAACTGATTCCAAATCCATAAGTACAATTCTGTCATTAACTAAGAGATAATTATCTAGCTTCGGGTTACTATATATTAGCCTAAATGTACCGAGCTCGGTATAGGTTACCCTTAACCGACGGCAAAACTTAGCAGTATTTAGCGGAGATTTTAATAGCTGCTTAAATAGTAGAACCCCGTCGATCTCGGATAGGACTAGAGCTCGCTTATTATTATACTAAGCTAATCTATAGTATATTAGAATAAGGTGGCCCTGAATAGATCGTAATCGTTTATATATGTATACCTCGTTATTAAACTCGTCGTCCTATTTGGGCTTTATTTACTTTAAAATGATTTATAGCGGAAGAAAGTAGCTGGGGATAAGGGTTTAAGCGAGGTTTCGGAGGGAGTATAATAGTGCTAAAAGTAGCGAAATAATAGCTTAATTAAATAAGGACCGGAGAATAATTAGGCATAGGATATTAGGATACTCGTGATCGCTTTAGTCGCTTACTATAATTATAGTATTTCTATTAAAATAAAACTAAATAAAAAAGTAGTTAGTGAAGTAGGAAATTATACCTTAATAGTAGAGGAAATATTAACCTTAATTAATATTTAGCGCGAGTTTTTATTATTATGCTCTTTAGCCATGATAAAAGATTGAATGTTTATTGGTGGGGAGTTTGGAATAGTTGCCTTAGGGGCTTGGATATTCCTAAATGGTCGCGAAGTCACGTGCGTGTCTGATAAGCCGGCGCCCCACACGCGAGCCATTGGACGCCGTAGGCCAATAGCAATAGAATTAACAGTCAATCGGCTGCTGCCTAGTATCTATAATCTTGGCCAAAGAATGATGAATACCCCGCACTAACGACTAATTCTGATGCTTCATCTCTTATCTATCATGTTGTCTCCTTTCGTTCCTTAATTATACTAGCCCTTAGAATATCGTCGTCTATGGAATTACTTATCGGATAGTACCTGACTAATCCTTACTAAGAAACCCATTTAGTTTTAGGAAGCTCTAAAATATGGATAAAGTTATATCTACTTATTATTAATTTGATTGTTTACTTATAGATATAGGGAGATTAAGTGATATAAGCTAATTTTTGGGCTTTTTATCCTAAGTATAAAGATAATTCTCTTAGGCTCTAAGAACATAGGAATACGCCGAACTAGAGATCTTATTAGTTAAATATAGAGGAAGACGGGGTAACTTAGTTTTATATAGAAGTATCTAATATTATCCTTACTACCTTTTTATAGTATCCTCGGATTTTATAAACTTTTTATAATAAGCTAATATCTAAGTCTTATGATGATTATACTATTGATATGGCTTACTCTATCT